CGGGTTCCCCGTCATGGACTGGGACGCGATCTGCGAGGGGCGCCGAGCAGCGTGTGGGCCGCACTCGCGAGGGCGCCGGAGAGGTGGCGGGGATCCTCTGGCGGGGCCAGAAGGGCCACGGTCACCGGAGCGATCATGATGGTGCGCGCCAACATGATGGGGCTGCCTGCCGACTACTGCAGTAGCGATGCGGCCGCCGACAAGGAGGAGTGCTCGGCCTGCGCGACGGTCGATCGCACGGATCTGAGGCTGGCGCTGAGGTCCGTCTGGAGCCTCGGGACCCGAGGCGGCGTCGTCGTCTCCGCGAACGCTTCGACGGGACGCTTCGGCGTGCGCGTGGCGGGCGAGGCCAAGGCCCTCGCACTGAGGCGCGCTATGGCCTCTCCCTCACTCGACGGATCCTCGCTTTGGACACCCCCCTGCCTCTCCCCTTCCTCAGGCCCGCCAACTTGGAGCCAGCGGCCGAGGCGGTGGAAGCGCAGAGCCGAGCGCGCCGCCGCCAGAGCCGAGCGCGCCGCCGCCAGAGCCGAGCGCGCCGCCGCCAGAGCCGAGCGCGCCAGAGCCAGAGCCGAGCGAGGCGCCGCCAACCGGAGGCGCCGTCAAGACGCCGTTCACGCCGTAGGCGTTGATGACCTCAACAATGTACTAGTAGTATAATAGTAGAGGATTATAAAAATCTTCACACACACCTAGTTAGTGTCGTGCGAGGGAGTTTATTTGTAAAAATCTGAAAAAATTCAAAAACGACGGCTTCTCAGGAAGCCGACGTCTGCGCCTTGTTAGTGCCAGCGCGCGCCAGTCCCGCATAGTAAAATTCTTTTGTCCGAGGCAGCGCTTTGTAAAATTCTTTTGACATACAGGTCACAGAAACCGACCGATGCCCGAACGCGCAGCCCCCGCCGGTTTGAGTGCGATCTGGCACACGATTGTCGCGCTGGTGGTTCGCTTCTTCGGCCGCCTCCGGCGCCTCCTCTCGCTCTACCCGTCGCTCCCGGTGGCGCCGCTCGCCGGCGGCGGCTTTGCAGACGGCCTGATGGCTCCGACCGAGGAGGAGGCCGTGGCGAGGGCGGCGGCGCTGCAGTTTCCGCCCGGCTTCCTGTTTGGCTCTGCCACCGCCGCCTACCAGGTCGAGGGCGGTCTCGACAACTGCAACTGGCGCGAGTGGGAGCAGAGAGGGAAGCGTGCCGACGGC